GACGAGTGAACACCTACAAGATTATGGGTCGCAAGCGAAGAGACTGCCCTGTTTTCGGCTGTGGAAGTACAAATCTCGTACGACTAGCGAATCATATTGATCAAATTCACCATATGGATGCAGAGGAACGCGCTAAATGGTTAAAATGGAGTAAACTTGGGCCATGTGTACCTTTACAGAGCGAGGAAACCGTAGCGGAAAACCAAGAATTAAATCTAGAGCAAACATTAGAAAGGATTCTAAAGCGACAAGAAGACATGGAAACAAACTTTAATAATTATCTAAGAGGTACAAGAATACAGCATGAAGAGAGCAAATCACCAAAGCGGAAACATTCTAAATGTATTACGAAAAGAAGACAGTGCTCTAACCAGTTTAACATTACTAGGAAAATGGACAATACGAAACATGTCTCTGACAAGTGGCTTTGCTTTTAGGGACGGACCGGTGCTTTGTTTAGTAGAGGACAGATCTGGCACTGCGCATAAGATCAAGCGCTCCAAGCTGGAAGACACTGTGCAAACAGGACAATTTATCTAAAACCTACGGTCTCTGTAAATAATTTAATTAGCTTCCAATATTCACTTTGTACAATTATTGGTTTATACGCTATAGAATAAAGGACAAAGAACGTATTTTACCTTGTGTTGTCTTTATTATAAAGAAACAAAAGAGCGAGAAAGTTAAGGTTTTGCTTTTAAATTACCTCTATCGCTTTCTATGGAACATTTATTCTCTGTTAAACAAAATAATTTATACATCGCTTAGCAAACAAAGATTGACATTTCTGCTTGACAAGCAGTTTTCGCTTCACTGCACTCTTGCCTCACTTCCATGTTTTGCTCGAAAAATGTATACATTTTCGCATTCGCCTAACCCCCTTTTTCCTTCTTTTCATCTATCCGGAAGGGGGTCTGGCAGATCGATCCAGTGTTGCTATCGTTACCGGAACGCCTTCTGATTGGTTTTCAAATCCTATGACGTCATTTTATAGGGGTGACGTCATTGCAAGGGCTGATCCGCGATCCGCCCTGATCCGCCCGTCCCAGAACCGCTATTTTGTATACTACTCACAAGTCCTCGCTAAAATTCGCCATTTTGATTTTAGCAATACTGAATAATATAAACAAAAGCTCTGATAACCAATCGGGAACGGCTTTAGTTATAACCAATTAGAATTTAGTCTTCAAATCCATACGCGGGGGCGTGGAGTCTAGAGAACACGGTTTGTGTCGTTGCTTCGCAGACGGACTATGCGAGAGAAAAGTCCGGCTGCACGCAGGCTAAAAATGTTTCGAGTCTACTGCTTCGATTGGATACATAAACGCATTTACAAAACGAAATCGTTTATAAGCTAGCGAGTTTGCAGGCATTGATACTTTAGCGCTTTTGAACTTTACCCACCCCTCCCTATTTTGTTATCTAACGTCGTGCTCATCTCCTAATTAGCGACTTTTGTTTACTCAGAATCAAAACGTCTGACAGCTATGTAAAATGCGGCCAAGAACAATTCAAGCCTTCCAGATCATGACCAAAATCTATTAACTACATATCAAGCCCATTACTATAAATTGCGGGGAAGAATCCAGTGTAAAATGAATGAAACCTTGCAAGTTGATGACTCGTTGATATCTTGGAAAGTATTCGGAAGTAATCCACTGATGCCAAGAGATAGCGGGACAAAAGGATGACAATGAAAAGGCCGAATTTAGACCTTATTTCTTAACCAAAAAGGTTATCAATGGTAAGAAAGGCTTGGAATAACGAACTACTTGGTTTTTGTTAGTTTTATGAAGCTCTTTTGGTTGATTTTGCTCAAATATGCAGTATGCACACTAAATCCGTTGTGTAGAGAATTGTACGATTGATGAAGTTCAAATCGCCCTCAACAAATAGACTTTTTTGCCGTTTTAAACGTGTTTTAAAACAAATTTCCATTGATATAGCAGGATTTTCAATTGGTTGTTTTAGTGAACTTGAAAGACTTTCTTGCAATTTTTGAATTGAAGCTTTGTTTTAGTAATTGATCATTTTTTCTCAGTGATTTGATTGATGTACCGCGTGCTGTGATTGGTTAATGAATAAAGTAAGGAGAAACAATATGTTTATCAAAAAAATTAAAATAATCTATAGTCAATCGCAATTTGAGCAGTTTATCTTGGGCTATATTATAAAAGCAAAAAATGATAGTTTTCCATACTTAACTGGTGAAATAAACTACCTTGGATAATTTGGAGAACACTCGCCTAACGGTTCCCGATTTACTGATCTTTTTTCGTGTTCTCCCAACCATCCCGAGAGGTTTATTTCGCCAGTAACCCATGGAAAACTATTATTTATTGCTTAAATGTCATCAACCTTTATTTTTAAAAATATAGTAATGTAGTACTATAGTAAAATTATAGAAAGGCTTTAGCTTCCATAGGTTAATTGTTATGTATTTGTATTGGTTTTACAATGATACCCGGGAAAACTCCTGGAAATATATCTCTATTACCACACAAAAAAATGTCGTTGATAACAGAAAGAGAATATGGTTAATTATGGCCAGAAATTTCGAATGGAATCACTATGGAAGGAGCTTAATACGTCATCAAGTTACTTACGTCAATCACTATATTTTAATCCCTGTATTTTTATTGGCTCAATCGCTATGCTCGATTTGAATTTTCGAAAATGGACAAAGAGAAAAATAAGAGGAAAATGTTTCTATAGTGTGCTAATCGGTTCATCAACAGAAAATATATTGCCATTAGTGAAATAAGGACAGAAGGGAAAAATTTATGATGTAGAGAGACTGACAAGTTGTCGTGGTGGATATGGAAGATAATAAAATGAGTTATTCTCGCCATAGCTTAATATAATGCTTATATAATGCATATCCGTTTCAGCAGCTTTAATGAGTTCAGTGTTCTTTGTCACTTAGAAAAWATAATTGGTTGATTTGCGAAAGATAACCAAGAGCTTTGAGACCCAAAACAATCGCACATTAGGTTTTTGGAAAGTTGCTAATTGTATTTCGCGCAAATTTTACCCGGTTTTTGCTTTTTTTCTTACCAGGTTGGTATCTGTCTGGAGTCTATTTTATCGACTCATAGATTCTTATTGAAAGAATAGACCATTTGCAAACGGAACAACGTGGAAAGTGATGATGATGATAATTATGATAATGATAATGATGATGATGATAAAAACCTACGAACGTTTAACGCATTTTTTAGGGGATCGCATTTCAATAAATTAAAAGATTCTCCTAGGTCACAGAAACTGTGAAATAAATTAGAGATGGGCCGAAAAAGAAACGACGTACAATGTAAATACTCGTCTTTTTTTAAAACACAGTCATTGAACGGCATCCTACAGAATATCGAAATTACGTACTGCGACATGTCATACTACTACTAAACCCAATTTACTGCTCATTACAATATTTAATTCTTATCTACTCAGAGCTCCAACACCGAGCTCCTTGTGGCATCTCAGGGAAAAAAGATAAAAAACATTCGTTTGAATTTAGGATTCGCCCAGTATAGGGGATAATTATTGGTAATTTAATTCATTTGATTCCCAGACTAGCTCGCCATGACATACATGTGCCTAGGTTTGATTCGAGGTTCTCTCTCTGGGTTCTACGTTTTTCCTCCCTACCCAAATGCTAACAGGCTAAATTCCAATTCGATCCGTGAGTAGCCGTGCATGGCTTTGATCAGTCAAAAGGATTGTCAGAGTATCGTTAAAAACGTTTTTTTAGTAGGTAAAAATTATTCAACCGATTTATTTTTATAACGGCTTTATATGTTAGAAATTATTAATTATCGACAAGGTTCAAAGCCTAGCTGATCATTCGCAGCCGTTTTCCTAAAATTAAAAAAATGTTTCTCAAACAATGACGTAATTTCTTTTAAAGAGTACTACAAGGAAACGAGGCAATTTTATTTTACTTTCACTGGACATTAAACAATTAAGACAATTTAGAGAAGCACGGGTGTGGCGCTGCTATAAAAGCGCCGACCCTCATCAATGACTAGAGTTGTTTGTTGATTCTCTCCTGTGCTTTTATCCGGGTTCTCTTCTTTTTTCCCTTCACAAAAATCAATTTCTAAATTCCAATTCGATCTTAGAAGACATTAGTTCTCGATATGGTTAACCTCTTACATCTCCTTTTGCACCATAACGCGAATGAATTTAATTTATTTATGTTAATATTTAATAATTATTAGGTGGATATCATCATAATCACTGAGCCTGAGGGAAATAATTGTTTGAGTAAAATTTTAGACTTGAATATCTGAGTAAATTCCAAAACCAGGATAAGAAAACGAAAGAATAAGAAAACGTTTTAGTATTACTTTCGATCTGTAAAACTTTGGATAACCTCATAATCACCACCCCAGCGGTCATTATCGTCTCAGATATCGTCTCATAATTATTGTAATCATACATATTAATATTCATCATCAACAAGGTGACCAGATGAAGAAGAGTTTTAAATTCTGAGATATTGTAGTTAATTTGGAGTTGATATGGCCTATTCGATTTGATATACAGAGGCGAAAATGCTAAACCGGCCTACAACCAGCCAGCTACCGAAACGTTTACTCAGCAAATGGTTTTTGACTAAAAATCAATGATTCTGGTATTTTTTCTTTTTCTTTTTCGTTGTCGGTCATAGTGGAGTTATCACTCGTTAGCGATAACATTATAGCACCCTTAACGGTAAACAGCCTAAGAAAACAGTTAAAATGCTTGGAAATCAAATTAAAAGCAAAGGAAGAAAAGAGAGAAGAGGAGCAAATATGAAAACTAAAATAAATAAATAAAAGATTCTTACAAAAAAAAAAAAGGATGTCCCGAGCAGATGCGCTAAAACACTTTTAAAGCAAAGATCAGTATTTTTTAAGAAAAAAAAAAACACGAAAATACTAATCACGTACCACGCTGTCCCTTTAAGAAAGTCTACTTTATAATGATAAAAGCACTCCGCACTCTTTACTACTTACCTTGTGCAAAGATTTTCATTTGGCATTAAGATAACTTAATGTTTTCAACCTTTTTCATGACTAGTGTACTGAACATCATCAGTGCGTGTTTTATTTAGAGATATGAARGCTGAAATCGTCATTAACCAGTTTTTATAATAATGACTGATGATTTCTCCCTCATTCATGCATATGAAAGTTAATTTGGTACTTTTTTGTTATACCACCTGTTCAAAGAATTGACGCAAATTGCGTTCGATTTAGATTGCCCCAGAAAGTACATCCCCATAGTAACCCCCCAATATGCATGATACCAAACTAGTATATATCTTGAAAAGAATTACGCCAAATAGTTTAGTGGTATATGTTCTGTAAAAATGATTTAAAAACTTCTAGAGAATACCTTTATAGTCTGCCTGTTATTTCCATATTCTAGTCTAATGGCTTTGGGAATACTAATTATTAGATAAAGCAACATATGAGGCACGTACAAACCCAGAAGTACGGTGCAGGAGCTCGTATTTGTTTATAAACATGGCGTTGAAACATCCGGTGGAATAAAAATGAAAGGCCGACCGAAAAATTTTAATGTTTATAAAAATGAAGATTTTTATGTAGCGTATTCTTATCAATACTCCTCTCGATATGATTCAAACAATAATCCTTTTTCAATATATTTTGCATAAGTTTGCTGTCCGTTTTTTAGAAGATTGGGTAGCCGTAAAAAGCGACGTAATAACTTTGCAACAACTAGTTTTTTGTCAAAATCTCTATTTTGAGTGGATAGATTTAAAAACGTCTACAAAAAATTTTCTAAACTTTTAAATTCTGGATTTTTGCCCCGAAAAAAGTTTCGTCAATGAATTATGAGATCTCGACGGTTTATCTCCTAGTTTGATTCGACGGTTTTGCACCCTCCACAAAAACCAATTTCTACAATCTAATTACAATTAGATTTAAAACTGCCTAGATGAAAATTACTTTCTTTAATTGTGGTAACCCTAACAAATTGTTTAGTTCGGGTATTTTTCAGGATTCGATAAAAAACTAGTGGTGAAAATAGCTAGAAGGATCTTTAATATAAACGCATCAATCATTTAATACTTTTATGCTGAACGTTATACAACCTATAGGTGATATCTGCATACACCTGCTTTTATTATTATTGATATGAAAATTATTTGCCCTTCAGATTAATTTAACTCATTAAATGTCAGTCTCATTAACCTGAACTCCCACCGCAGATTCTACAATGAATTGTCGCTTAGAAAAACGGTGAATACGCTTCACGCGATGGACATAATTTTCAAACGATGATTCGACCAAGGCCTTAATTCGAGATTGACTTTTAAAAAACATATATTTTTTGGTGAATTGAACTTACGTTATGTTATGGCTTTTTAGTTTATTATTCGCCCTTTAAAGTTGTATTTGGTGTCATACTGTTAAAGCGGGGTTTTACCTGCCACGGTTGCTATGGAAAGAACTCAGTGAAAATCTGTAAGAAGTCTCATGTTTTACGCTCTTACATAAAACCAATTTATTAAATGGATTGCTTTTTATGATAACGTCTTCACTTATACGTAATTTATGCTGTCATATTTCGTTAAAAACATAAAAAACAAGCATATATTTGGTCGGTTTGACCCAAAAATAGGCAAATATCAAATCTTTGCTGAGTTAAATTCGATCCGCAAAGCTAAACATTATTTTTGAAAAAGGTCACTATTCAAAGGTCCCCTAGGGTACGTACTTGATAAAGGGAAGACACTTTTCCCCCCGATTGTCTAAAATGCCACTATCAGCTGTTACAGAACTTTCCCTTTAAACTTTACAAAATAAAAAAGAAATATAATAACTTTCTTATTTTATTGAGGACAAATTTTCCAGACTAGACTGAAATAGTGATCGAAATTTGACTTTTTTTGGAAGACGTTTTGGCCGAAATGTAGAAGAAGTTGGCTGAAACCACGAGGGGTTGGTGGAGAGGAGATCGAAGAAAAATTGTACGTTTGTAAAATGAGGGGGAATCGGGGCTGGTTCATATTTTCCGTTTAATGTTTTGGTCAATAATACCTTCTTCACATTTCAAATCGTCAATGATTTGATCTAGTTTAGAGGCTTTGCACCACCATGCACGTGACGGCAGCCATGTTAGATGGCAGGAACAATACAATCTTTTTACATAAGACAGGAATGATCGAACTCATGCCAGAAATCTTCTTAATCAAAATCCCGGCCTTGCTTTCAAAGTCCCCTTTTGCAAGTCTTGTACATTTAAGTCATCTTATTTCAATCGTATAGTCTGTCTCTGGAATGCCATTTGTAAATAATCTTAATCAACTTCTTTACACTCCTTTGTAAACTCAGGCACCAAAAATATTTCCTCACCACCGCCACTTAGTGGGTCCAGCCAACTTCTTCTTTACTAGAGCTTGAACAAAAGCGGTGTCTTCCCTTGGTCAAATATATACTTAGGGGATTTTTTTAGGAATAAATTTTTACAGAGTAAGCTAGAGTTTAAGGACAGGGGAAAAATATGGCAATCGCATTTCTTTAGATTGAGTTTTATTTTCGAGTGTTTGGAAACGATAAGTTTGAACGACTTCGTTTATGCTTAATCTAACCGCCATTCCAAAGCCACAGGAAGCCCAAACTTTCGTTACGGTCTGGGAACCCCTGCGATCTAGAACAAATACTAGCTAGAATAAGCCTGAAGCGAGATGACGTTTTACCCCCGTCTCTAGAGTATAATCCTTTCACACTGCTTTTGTTCTTTAATTATGACTATTGTTCCTGTATTCTCTAAGGAATCAAAAATTTTAATATGAAAGAATTTAAAAACTATTATGGTCTAGAGACGGGGATAAAACGTTATCTCGCTTCAGGCTTATTATTGAATTTAAAAATATGAAAAGTTTCAATCAGCTAACCTCCTTGGACAGGCATGGTAGAAAAAGATACTAATTAACTGAAGATGTTTCTTGAATTATCAAATAAATATGCTCCTAGCTATTCTTTTACAAAAGTTAAAGATTTTTCAAATGTCCCATGGTCGACAAAGGAGATAAAAGAGTTGATACATGTTCTTGGAGTGCAAGCATATGAGTCAAATTCTGTCGAAATAAAAATAACAATGAGACACAGCCGCCTTGTTGGTTGATCTAACAAGAGGAGCTAATGAGAAGTGCTGTTGTTATCGTCAATCAACATAGCGACTGTTAATTCAAATATCAATCTTTTCCTTTTATTAACACTGTCTTTTGTGCTTAGTTGCTAAGAGAGGGGGAGAGGAAAATTAAAGATAAAGATCGCGACAATAAAATTTTAAGATTTTTTAGTTGTCCTAACCTAGATCAGCCCAAAGGTTGTTTGAAGGTATCGATCAAATTGGAAGGAATATATTTCTAAGAGTTGGATAGCTCGATATTTTAATTTCCACCCGTGACTAGCGCACTGAATATCATCAATGTTTAATCCAGAGATATGAGGACTGAAGGCTTTGTCGTCGTTTACTAGTTTTTATAATAATAAGGACTTCTCCTCCATTCAGTTAATTATGGTACTTTTTTGTTGTATCAACTGTTCAAAGAATTGACGCAAATTTCGTTCCATTTAGATCACCCACCTACGATATTCCCATGGTAACACCCCGATGTACACAATCAGCCTATTTTACTGACTAGGCTTTCGATATTCTGTGAAACTTCGATCAAGTTTTTGATTCCCGAATACTTTATAGAGCAGTTGGACATTCATTGTGGCGGGGTTTGAAAAAATCCGTCAGTTTGCGTACTAGTAAACGTTTTCTTCTTCCGTGACAGCCTTAACTTTAAATCCAGAATGCCCCGACCATTTAGTGATGATTTGATATGGAGAATGGTATTTCACCGTTTGTTTTACGCCAGAACGTTGGAGGAAACACGTGATATTTCTTTTAGTCTAAATGCGTAAGTGTGTAAATGTGTAAATGTGAAAATGTGTAAATGTGAAAATGTGTAAATGTGTTTATAAAATTCATGAATAATTAATTAGGGTTTTGACCAATCAAATTTATGAAACCAATTCTCACAGGCACCTTGTAAACTCCATACAAACCTAAAGCACGGGGAGGGCTTGAAGAGCTGGCAGGGAAAGCTAGGGGTGAATGAATCAACACAATGAAAATGCAAATTAGTTACAATCACTAGTGGTTGTTACCAAAACAGTATACTACCGCTAGTGGTTGTTACTAAAACAGTACACAACACCTAGCTTGAACTGTAAGAAATTAGCATTATCATTACTGTGACTTAAAGTGCAAATGAACCCTT